AGTGCCGTGGATGGTGAGGAGTAGAGCTAGAGCTGACCACCATAGACCAGCTCCACTACCAAGTTTGAAGGGGGCTGGGAGGCCCCGCCAACAGCTTCGCCTCAGGCGAAGCCAAGCTCCAGCTCGGCTGTATCGTAGTAGCGATAGTCCCAATGCAAGAGGGGAAGCCATGTCAAGTAAAAAGGGATGCCTTTTAGTATCGATAGCGATAGTGTGCCTCGCGGTGAGGCACAGTCCAATCTAGGCGGCCGGCCGCTTGAACCAAGACGGCCGCGGGCGCACGCTCGCTTCCGATCCTTACGTCCCCCAGCTCGCTTTAGAGTCTCTCGGCCCCCAGCCCGACGTGCAGCTCCTCGGCGAGATCGCGGCGTGGCTGGCGATGGCAGTCCCCGTGCTCTCAGAAGTGATCGCGGGCCCGCGGCCCGCGCGGCCCCTCGCCTCCGACCCCCCTCCTCCCGCGGCCCGCGTCGGAGGTGCCGAGGAGCGCAGCACGGCGACGCGGCGCTGGCGGCACCCGACAGCTCCACCCAAGACGCCTCCCTGGGCATGCCATCCGTCGGCGTGCCAAACGCAGTGGCGGACACTGATGCGAGCGCAGCCGCTGCCGCACCCGCGCACGCGCAGAGCGGCGAGCAGTCAGGCGGAGGCGGACGCAGGAGAGCTGTGGCCCCGCCGCCCTGGCTTCGCTCTCGGCGCAACGCGGGGCTCTACTGCGCCGCCAGGAGGGCCGCGAGCATCATCACGATGCGGCAAGCCTCCCTCAACTGGCTGCAGCGGGCGGCCTGGGCGCCTGGCCGCCGCCGCAGCACCAGGCGGGCCGTCCTCGCTCCGCCTCGGCCGCGCCGCCGCACGCCCTCGGTTCGCACGGCAGCCGAGGCAATTCCTGGCGACTGTACGGTGGCAGGTCGGCGACGCGGAGCAACGGTGCCCGCTGGAGCCAGATTCGCCCTCGCTGAGCGCATCCGAGGCGGGGGACCTCCTTCTGATGCCCCCCTTGGGCACGGCCCCATCTGGTGGACATCTGATCTGGAGCTGGCGGGGAGGGGCTTCCCCCCTCACGCCCATGGCGATGGTCCGCCTGTCAATCAGCAGGAGGGGGGAGATCTCGCAGCAGGTGGACTCCGTCGCCGAGCCCGACGAGCCGCCCCTCCTCTCCAACTTCGGCTCGCTGGCCCCCACGAGCGGGAGCTCGCGCCGCCTGTCTTTTTTTTTCGATTTCGTCTCCGACGCCACTGAGCTGGCCCTGGGCAGCGGCAGTCACAGGAGGTTGCGCGTGCTCCAGCGGCACATGCCGGCGAGCGCTGCGGTCCCTCCCGTTTTCGGCGGGTCTGCGGAGCGCTCGGCAGCCCTCGACCGCCTCTCGCACGCCCAACTGTGCCACGAGCAGGCTCGGCAACTCTGCTCGGTCGTCCCGATGGCTCTGCACGCTAGTACCATTGAATGGCAAAGCAGGGCTCGGCTGAAGCGATCGATCCTCAGGGCCTCGCCTTGCGGCGTCCCTGAACTGCCGCTGGCGTGCCTCGAGGGTCCTGCCAGCGCGTCGGCCGACCGATCGCGGTGAGCTCATGTAGGTTGCCGCCTTCTCCTACGTGATATCGTTTTTTTCAGGGAACCTGCAAGGCGCCACATGTCTCCAGTCCGACCACCATTCACACGCAACCTCAGCCAGCCTACCAGGCCCGAGGCGAAACTCTGGGCACGCACAGTGAGGGAAAAACGTCTTATTCAAACCCACATAAGACGAAAGGGTATTGGCGCCGTGTGGGCAACTACCCCAAGTGGCTTCACACAACGGCACAAGAGAGGATAACTCTCCGCGCAAAGTGAGTAATGCATGCGGCGGCGTGCCTGAAAGAAAACCTCCCCCAAATCCTATCAATAGAGGCGGCAGCGGGAAGCGGGAGAGGGCGAGGGGCAAGGAAAATGGAATGGACTCCAGGTCACAGCCAATGGCTCCACTGGCGGGCCAAACACTCTAGAGCAGTAGACACAGTAACCATGGAAATCAAGGAACCTGAAACATCATGTGGGTATGTGGTATACCCGCGACGCGTCGAGGCCACGAGAGGCGTCCACCCCCGCAAAAATGGAGGGGCCGAGGCATCCCAGTGGGCGGGCGCCACGGGCTGGGCATAAGGCCCGCCTGCAAAACAAATTCAACTAAACACCGAACGACCCGCGGAGACGGAGAAGGAGGAGGAGCCAAAAGAGGGAGGGAAAATATCCACCCGCGCTCAGGAAGCCCTCAGGACACCGCGTACTCGAGATTCACGATCAGACCTTCGGCGAAGGTGCGCGTGAACGCCTGCACCATCTTTCGTGCTTGCGGCACATAGCAGGCCGCGGCGCTGAAGGCGCTGTCCAGGGCGCTGGCGAGTGCGAGGCGTCGATGCTGGCGCTGGGGCAGTGCAGGCGCCGGTGTGGATGCTGGCGGAGGTTCCAGCTGTCAAAGCAGATGCTGATCTCGATGACGTTCTGGGCGCAGATGCTGGCGTAGGCGCTATCGATGTCAGTGCTGGCGGCGACGGTGGCGTAGGCTCAGGCGTTGGTGCTGGCACAAGGGTGGTGGCTCCGATACCGATGGAGCTGGCGTCGGTGCTGATATCATTGCGCCCATCCATCGTAATTCGGCCACGTTCGTGGGACACGCTTGGTCGTGGTGGCGGCGTCGGTGCTGGCGAGGGTGCTGGTGTAGGCTCTGGCGTCGGTGCTGAGGGCGGTGCCGACGTCGGTGTCGGCGTCAGTGCTGGTGACATTGCTGGCGTATGCACCGGACTCGGGGCGACGGCGTCGGTGCTGACGATGGTGCTGGGCTGGCGTCAGTGCTGGCGTCAGTGCTGGAGGTGGTGCCGGCGTCGGTGTCGGTGTCGGTGCTGGCGACTGTGTGGCGGTATCCTTGTTTTGGCCCAAACCGAAAAAGTGCAGATTGCAAGTAATGAGTACGTTAGCTCCGAAGCCGACAATCCCACGAAGTGGGATAAATGATGCGACTCATCACGGCCACTTGAGGTCCAAGGACGGCGTTATCATAATCGCCGGGCAATTTGACGATGCCCTGGGAGCTGGAGTCGGAGAGGTGCGCACTGGAGTCGACGCCGGTGTCGGTGTCGGTGTCGGTGCTGGCGACTGTGTGGCGGTATCCTTGTTTGGCTCCAGCGGAAGGTGTTGGCGGCAAACTCTCCATCGTATGAGTAGGTTATTTCCGAAACCGCCAATCCCACGAAGTGGGATAAATGATGGGAGCCAGGTCCCAGGTCGGCGTTCTGATTAGCGCCGGGGAATTGCACGGTGCCCTGGAACTGGAGTCGGAGAGGTGCGCACTGGAGTCGATGTCGATTGCAGTTCTTGCAGTTCTTGTTCAGCGTGCTGTGCAATATGTTGTCTCCTTATCGCGTCAGCTTGGCTTTTGAACATCGCTGGTCTCGCTTGGGTGCAGCTGGGACCAGAAGCCACGCCGTGTCTTCCCCGTCCTGGCAGGCGGGCCTTCTTCGAGGGAAAGCTCCTGTGGCCTTCTCGCTTTTGCGGGAGGCACGGCCTGGCTGATAGCGCGTGCTGTGCTGTCTCAGGTGACGCCGCACACCTCCGCTCCCAGGGAGTGGCTTCGGTGGTCTTTCCTCGGCTTGAGGGAGGCACGGCCTGGGGGATGGCGCGGGAAGCGTTGTCCCAGGTGACGCCGCACACCTGTCATGGAGCTCGGTCGTTTCGCTTTCCCTTTCGCTGCGGAGGCGTAAGAGCCTGACCAGCCAGCACGAGGGGCTCAGCTGGCGCTGGGAGCGGAGCAGGGCCGCGCGTGGCTTCCAGGGCGAGGTGAGGGGCTCTGCCCGGGTGGCGGTGTGTTAGCCTTTTGGCTCGCTCGCTCCTTTGCCATTCGGGGCCCTGCTTTTGAGGCTTTCGCCTGCCGCCTGCGCCCTCTGCGACCGCCGCTGCTGCGCGAGCCTGGCCCACAGCTAAAACAAGGCCCCAGTGGCTGCTCTCGCATGCGGTTCCCACACCCAGTACAGCGCTTCGTAGCCCGATAGGGAGCTTCACCGAAGGCCGCAATGGCTGTACTCGCATGGGGTCTCCCCACCCAGTAAACCGTTTCGTGCCCCATCGGGAGCTCCGCCGAAGGCCCTAGTGGCTGCACTCGCACGCGTCTCCCTCGCCCAGTGCAGTGTTTCGTGGCTCCACAGGGAGCCCCACCGAAGGCCCGGTGGCTGCACTTGCATGCGCCCCCCCCACCGCCCATTACAACGCTTCGTGATCCCATGGGGAGCTCCGCCGAAGGCCTCAGTGGCGGCCCTGCCCCCGGCGCACCCCTCGAACGCTTCGCGGCCCCATCGCGTGTTCCACCTAAGGCCCCACTGGCAGCGCCCGCATGGCGTCCCCGCCCCAGATCAGCACACCCTTCGCATGCTCCATGGCCCAATGAGGAGACCCTCCTAAGGCGATACCCGCAACGACAGGCCTCACAACTACATATGTTTGGGTCCTTCGCCAAGATAAATCATTGTTTCTGGGGTTCTCGTCTTCTCGAGCTTCCGACGCACCAGGACGGCCCAAGAGGCTCCATACACAACCCCAAAACTGCCCAACAGGCTCCTACGAGGGCCTGGGGCAGCCCAAGAAGGTTACAAGACGGCCCAAAGAGGGGCACAAGGCGGCCAAAGATCGCCCCAAGACGGTCCCAAAAGAGGCAAAGAGGGAGAACACGAACCGAATATCCGATCTTTCCCCCAAGGGCCCCCCCCAAAAAAACCCAATATGCCCCCAAACGGTCAAACAGATGCTCCCAATAAGCCCCAAGAGGCCCCCAAGAGGCCCCCAAAAGACTCCAATACGCGTCAAAACTGCCTCCGGGAGGCTCCGCCAGGCCCCCAACAAGCTTTCAAAACGCCCACAAGAGCCCCCTGATAGTGCCAATGAAGCCCACGACGCCTCAACCGTGGACTCCCCGCCTCTTCTGGGGGTCGGCGGAATGGCGTTAGCCCGTCGAATAGCGACGCCATGAGCAGGGCCACCTCAGGATCGCGGCGCAGCGACCCCGCGACGTAGCACAAAGCATGGCCGTCAATCGCCACAGCCTGCCCGCACACCAACAGCCCCCCTCTTTCCAACCCCTTGTGCCGATCTCTCCCATATGCCCGTCGTCTGCACCCTTGCCGTCCAATCTCTTCCCGCTTCCCTCCCACCCCCGCCCAATCCGTTCACCAACAAATCAGGTCTCTCGTTGCCTGGCTGCTCGCCTACCTCGCCGCCGATCGCCAACAATTCTTAGGGACGCGGTGCTAAACACTCTCTGAGTGCCGGGGAAGCGGGGGAGGAAAAAGAGGACGGCAAATAACTTCGAGGGTTCGTCAACCAGACGCCGTGGAACGGCCGTCGAACCAACCTTTTTTAAAAAATTTGTGCCGATGGCGACACTGGTGGGGGAATGGACACCCGACAAAACATGACGGGAAAACGCCACGTGGGCACATTGAGTTCGCGATATCTACTTTGTTGCGCTGGACTTCCGTGATGGCATGTCGCGGAGTAGACAAGGGTGGGAGCACAGCAGGGAAGGCGCAGAAACCAACCTGACTGGAGCTGAGCACGGTAGAAGCAAGGCCACTGGAGTCCGATGAGTAACCACATGGAATCACGAGGATGTTAAAATTTCTTCCCGCCCCACTGATCCCCCGAACATGTTGGAATAATTATCGGGAATTCACACGCCCCAAACACCCCTTCGGACTCCGTTCAAAAAGCTAGCCTGGCGAAGGACCCGACTGCGCGCAGCTGAGAATACCGCATCTGTGAACGTCGTCTTCGGCGGAGCTCCTCGTGGCGGCCCGAACCGCGCGAAGGGCCCGTCAATGTGGGCCGGCGGCGGCACGCGGGCGCTGCCGCGGGCGCCTTCGGTGGAGCTCCTGATGGGGCCTTCGGCGTGGCTCCCCCTGTCCGCGATCTGTTTGATGGGGGGTAGCGAGACAAGCTAGACCGCCCAACATTGTCCTTCCCATATTCCCCCCCTCGTGTCCGCGCGCGCGGCGCGGCGCGGACTCCCCGCGACGCGCGCCGGTCGCTCAAGAGGCCCCAGCGACGCGACTCGTCCGTCGCGGAGCAAAGAGAGCTAAAACGCTGGCCGATTGCGGGCAGGGCTCTGGCCGCTTGGCGCAGCGACGACAGGCGAGGGAGGCGCTGGGCAGAACGCGACGTGGATTCCCGCGGCGCGCGCTAGTCGCTCTGAAAGGGCCCCAGCGACGCGCGCGGGTCGTCCGCGGCGCGGGGCCGAACAGTCAGACCGTCGAGAGAAGGCGAGGCTCGGGCGGGCCGCTCCCCCAGTCAAGCCTCGCGGATAAACTCGGTGAAGCCCAACTCCCTGGAGAGGGCCGTCGCCTCCCTCCGGCGCCGCTTCGCGCGCGCCGCAAGCTGCTCCAGCTGCTTCCGCAAGCCCTCCGGCGGCCGCGCCACGAACAACTCGATCCGCGGCGCAAGCAGCTTGCATGAGCTGGAGGTCCTCGTGACGCGTGGCGCGCGAGAGCAGCGCGTGGAGCTCCAGCCGCCAGTCGTCGCCCTCCTTCTTGCCGTTCCCGACCTCGTGGCAGCCGCAATCCGGGATCACGCCTGAGCGACATCGGCCGAGGAGGCGGCGCGCCGGACAGCCGACGGCCCAGGGCGAGACTCTACAGGACCGAGAGAAGGTCTGGGTACGGACCGCTCTCGCGTGAAAGGCGCGCTCCTGGTGGGCCCGCGAAACACCGCGCTGGGAGCAGGAACCGCATGCGAATTCCGCCACTGGGACCCTCCGTGGAGCTCCCTATGGGGCCACGGAGCGCTTTATTGGGCGCAGGAACCACACGCGAGCTCCGCCACTGGACCCTTCGGTGGAGCTCCCCGTGGACCCACGAAACGCTGCGCTGGGCGCAGGAACCGCACGCGAGTTCCGCCGCTGGGACCTTCGGTGGAACTCCCGATGGGGCCACGAAACGTTGCACTGGGCGCAAGAACCGCTTGCGAGTTCCGCCGCTGGGACTTTCGGTGGAGCTCCCTATGGGACCACGAACCGCTGCACTGGGCGCAGGAACCGCATGCGAGTTCCGCCACTGCGGGCCGACGCGGAGGCGAGCCACGCGCACGTCGATCCCGATGGGCACTTCGTTGAACTTCCGATTCGTTCCCCGCCCCTTGGCATTGATCTTCTTGGCGACGTACTCGGCGGCGGTCATGACACCCGTGCTAGGGCCCGCCCGGACCACTGCAGTGGGCCGCGGCGCCGCTGGCGGCAGAAGCCTCAGGATCAAGATTCCCAAGCCGTGGATCGAAGAGACGTCCAGGGATGAGGGGTGGGGGTTGGAGTGGTTGGCATCTCTTCCCGTTCGGAGGCCGGCGGTTCGGGCGGCTCGCCAAGCGGGGAAGCCCCAACAGGCGGCCGCCCGACCTTGCCAGACCCTACGAAGGCCACGGGGATCGCCGCGTCGTCGTACGCGAACGAAGAGTAACTGTGCTGGTGCCGGGGCTGGGCAAGCTCCAGGCGCTGCTCAGCGGGAAACGCCCGAGCATGAGCCCGATCGCCAGCGGCCTGCCGCCCGGCAAACCGTTGGGCCCAACTGCCGCCCTCGTGCCCGCCACACTGGCGATGAGATGAGCGGACAGCATCGCTACGCGGCAGGCGGTCGCCGATGCCACGCAACGGCCATCCGCCCTCTTCCGCCCAGCGGCGGCGGCCACGGGGGGCTGCGCGCCCCCTGCCCAGCAGCCGTCTGCCCAGGCATCGAACACTTCCTGGCTATAAATTGGTCTCTAATCGTCCGGGGCGGGTGGCTCGCGCCGCCGCCGCCGCGGGCTGGGGGGGGGAGGCAGCTACAGGCTTGCTTGCGTGCCCTTCCTCCTCACGCAGCGGCCGCGGTAAGCGCCCGCGCCAGGGAGTCGACCGCTGCGCTGAGGCGCAACGATAAGGGGGACTGGCCCGCAGAGGGGGGACATCGACCTGGAACCGGCGATGCATCGCAAATATCTCGGCGACAGGCCCCCGACAGCGAATCCGCACGTGGGCGATTGGGGGTCGATGCGTCCCCCCAAATCCTTATTCCCACACTACCGTTGCCCCTGGCGTGCGGTGCGCATCGGGTTACGGTGGCGCGGGGGCACAGAGACCGCGCGTTCCGTCTGCAACGACCTGAGAGCGTCAAGCGCATAGAGGCCACACCCCTGCCACGCGCTGGGGAGTCATCCCTAGTTTTGAACTGCTGGCAAACGGTCCTCACCAACCAAACCTTACACGGCCTGTAAAATATCTGAACCTCCCCTGGACTGCGAGCAGACTATCCTTACCCCCTGGATTGCATGTCCACACCCCGTCCAATCACAACTGCCAACAGACGAGTGAGGATCAAAAGTGCGTATACTCATCATCCTGCTGCTCCTCCTCCTCCTCCTTTCAACGAGGCACAGCGCGTCAGAACCTGGGCTCAACATAAAATGCCCAACTCATGGAATACCCGAAGCGGTCTCCCCCCTCTCCGTCTCCTCCTCCTACTCCCTCCTTCTCAGCTACTCCAGATTTCGTAATAAAAGTGAGGGGGTCTCAACCCTCCCAGACGAGAAGTTTTAGACCCCCCCCCCCCTGGGAGAACCCTCCAAAACATCGTCCCCAGACCCCCCCAGGCCCTCCAAGATAGCCTGGAAGAGCCCCCCCCCGAAATGAGACCCCCCCCCTTTTATTACGAAATCTGGAGTATCCTGCTCATCATGTTGCTTCTCCTCCTCTTCCACCGCATCGTCGTCATCTACATCCTCTTATCCCTCCTCCCTGCCCCCTCCTCGCTTCTACCTCCTCCCTCCCCCGCTCTACCTAGTCCCTCCTCCATCGCAAATCCTCACATCTCCCTCCCCCTCGTCTCTACCCATCCTCCCCGCTGGCTCCTCCCGTCTCCTTCGCTCCACCTGCTCCTCCTCCACTTTTTCCTCACCATCCTCACCGTCAGCCGCTCCTTCAACCCGTCCAACGAAAAAGGATCTCGGATCTAAGATTCCAACGTTGTCGGCGTGTGCCAGAGGCTTTGTCGTTCGAAGCGTCTCCCTTCTTTTCCTGCCGACACCGAAGTCCCTTATCAGGGGGATGGGGACGAATACTCATATGGTGTAATTGTAACAAGGGGGAAAAGGAAAAGGCTCTGGAGGGGGAGTCCCCGACCGCGCGCGTCTGTGTGCCTGTCCCTACCCATTCCAGAGAGACGTCCCCCAGTGCGCCCTCCTCCTCCTCCCCCTCCTCCTCCGATCGATTTCCCTACTTCTCCACACACCGACCACGAGCTACGCCCAACGGTCACACAAACTCGAAGTGGAGCCGAAATCAAAATGAAAGAGCGGATAGCGACGCTACGCAGCCATCCCTCTGCTCCTTCTCTCCTCCCTTTCCAGCTTTCTCTTGTCCTTCTCCTTCCACATCCTTCTCCTTCTGCCCCCCCTTCTCTCCGTCTCCTCCCCCTCTCCAGCTCTCCCTCTCCTTCTTCTCTCCTTCACGGTGGCAATTTCCAGAAGTTCTACGTTTCCTTCCAGCTCCCGCCGCGCTGGACACGAGCACGCCGTGTAGCCAGGTGGCCAAGGGGCGGCACTGCTTCAACGGTCAATGCTGGTCCCCTGCTTCCCTCGCACTCCCCCCCCCCCCCTCACCATCCTCCCCCCCCCCCTTTGCCCCCATGCAGCCCTCGCCCTCCCGGGAAACCTCGATCTGCGCACGCGGGGCAAAACTCCGTGCTCCTTCTCCCCACCCACGGGTGCGAAGGAAACAAAAGACTGGGGGAGCAGGGCAACGGATTACCACATGGGTCTGGCTCACCCCTGACCTGACCATCCCATTCCTCCTCATCTGGCATGAAAAGGGCGGCGGTGGAAGAGGGCCTGGACGATCGCACCTTTGGCCGCGCATCAGACGTGCCGACTGCGCTTTCGGAAACGCAAGTCGCACAGCCCAGGCAAGCCGGCTGTCGATGGGCGGCGGCACTCCCACAGCCAGCGCGACCGCGGGCGGTGACGCTGGGTCAACGTGCAACGCATTTGAGGCAAAGGGCTCCCTTCATGCCCTGCCCCGCGCTCGCTTAGCGCTCCCCCATGCAAGCCCTGCGTTGCGGCCTGCAGCACGAACTCCTTGTTCCTGCGAAGCTCCTAGCAAACGCATACGGGAATCGTGCACCGCACTATTTGAACGCTGGCCTGTTAGAGTGCGGTTTGCTTTGCCATCCCGCCATTCTTTTGTACGAGGCACATAAAGTATGAAGGCGGAGGGCAACCCGGGTTCATGAGTGAACCGGTTGGCTTGCCCATGAGGAATGGAAACGCATGCCAGGGACTGATACACTGAATGCTGCGCGTCTGCGAGCCGGGTCGTGGCAGTGCCAATGGGCATGCGCTTCAATGTCGTATCTTTTCACGCGTGCACAATAACTGTACAAGTCCGACGACAGTGCCGTAATGACAAGGGGGGGCGCGCTTCTGATCCACATCGATGTCACGGAGCGCACGCTGATATGTCAAATCGCCACATATAAATCCGAATGCGTATCCTGCATGCTGGATCCGAATTCGGACGGGCCGCATGGCATGCCGGGTCTTCCTCATCACTACAAACTAGAATCCAATGTCTGCCCGTGCGGCAAATTGAAAGGTTCGTTGCCAGTGAACTGCATCATCGGACTGTGCTAGGGACCAATGGTGATGGACCTTGCGTTGTTCAGCCGAAGTGGATTTGTTTTGTTTTGTTGTTTGTATCGTTTCGCATGTGTCGGTGTGGCTTACATTCCAACATGTGGCTGTAACTGTTCACATGCCTTGTGGGGCCCAGGACGACAGGCCCAACAAATCCCGAAGCCGGCGAAAGGGGGTCCCAAGACGGCCCAAGAGGGTCCCAAGGCACCGCCCAAACTGCCCCAATACAACCCCAATGCGGCCCAAACGAGGTTCATCATCTCCATCATCTTCAGCAGCGTCGTCAGCATCGCCATCATCACTACCACCGCCATCATCAGCATCTACCGTCGACCGTCGTCATCACAATCATCAACATCACCATCGATCGTACGCATAATCATCACCATCGCCATCATACTCATCATCAGAATCGCCATCATCATCATCACCATGGCCAGCACCGTCGCCACCATCATCCGAATCACCAGAATCATCATAACCATCATCACCACCAACGCCACCATCATCATCACCACGATCCCCGACGTCCATTTTCCAAAGCATCCCATGCGTGAAGTGCGCGAGGGAAGGCTGACCAAAGGGCGGCCAGGGGCGTCGGGGAACAGCGGCGCTGGTCCTGCCGCGCGGCCTCACAGAGCCCCAAGGTCACCAGAGACAGAGAGCTCTCGATCTGTCCAGAAGCTGATCGCAAGGGCGGCGGCGCGTGCGTGGGGGGCGGGGGGGGGGGGGCAGCAAGTTGCAGGTCCAATCCTTCTACTATCGCAACCGCTGTGCTCACATGATTTCCAAAGCGCCCCATGTGTGGAGCTTGCGAAGAAAAGCTGGCCCAAGGGCGGCCAGGGGCGCCGGGGTGCGGCGGCGCTGGTCCTGCCGCGCGGCCTCGCAGAGCCCCGAATCTGAATCTAGACTTGCCCGTCGGGTGCGTTGGTCACACAGTCGCCCAGGACCCTGCGCAGCTGGGGCGAGTTGAGCGCGCTGCTGAACGCGCTGTCGACAGTCAGGCGATGCGCGGGCGAAGGACAGGGCGGCCGCGCCCATCTGGAGACGGGGGCGCGCGGGCGCGGCATTCCCCCGGCGCCCGTGGCATTGCAGCAGCCCCAGGTTCTGAAACGAACGGAAATGATGGACGGCCCCGCCTCCTCGCAGCGACCCGGGGGCGCGGGGCAAGTCGCCAATGCCGACGAGGCCCTCGAAGCAAACTGATCCCGCGGGTCAGCCGGCGCAGCTGCCCAAGGCCACCGTCGGCGAGATTGGTCTGAAGATGCGCCCGATTTAGTTCAGCAGCGCAGGAACGTCGATCAAGACGCACTGGAACTTCGGCCCTCGGCGCAATCTTGGCCGAAAGTAGCGCGGGCACGCCCGCGCTGACGTCGCGTCCCAGGTCCCCGGGCAAGCGCGGGCGCTGCCAGATGGCAGCCGCGACCTGACTGGGCTGCAACAGCGAATGGAAGGCGAGGGGCAGGCGCGCCGATGCCCCGCCGAATCCTAGCGTCTGGGCAGCGACGGCCAAGGCCATGAGCACCTCGACAGGCATGAGGGTTCGCACCTCGGCCGGCTCGAAATTGCCCCCCCCCCCAGGCCGGGCGCAGTTGACCGCGGGTCTGGGGCCAGCGAAACTCGGCGCCAACCGGGGTCGCAGATCCCCAAGAAGACGGCGCCTGCGCGTCGTACAGGTACTGCGCGTGGGCGACGGGGGTGGCGTTGAGCAGCTCGCTCGATGTCGCGCGCGACATCGTCGTGCGCGACGTCGATCGTCGGGGCGGGGCAGTCCTCGAGCCTGGAGCCACAAGCCCAACTTGTCGAGCGTGATGATGCGCCGGCGGGCAGTGGCCGGTATGGCTGTCGCTCGGAGGCCATGCGCGGCCCCCGAAGCGGCGCGCCGCGAGGCTGTGCCAAGGCGCGCGGGCGGGCCTCCTCCAGGAAACCCAAGCCACCTGGAGAAGATCCCCAGGGACATCAGCAGCGCGGCGAGCGGCAACACATGTCGAGCTGCCCGGGCACCGCGTCGCACCACTCATTGTAATGCTCTGCTGCCACCTCGGCCAGGCGCCGCCAGGCGCTGTCCTCGCACTGGACGCCGCTCTCGAGGGCGAGCTGCTGGCGGCCGCGGTCGCGTCGCCTTGCCGGCGGGGGCAGGGGCGCCCGCCGCCCCATCCAGGTGGCAGTCTCGCGCCAACGCCCGCCCCGCAAACGCCAGTCCACGACGCGCTCGTAGAGCGGCCCCGCGCCGAGGGCCCCCTGGAGCTCCAGAAGTGCCCGCAAAAAGAGCTTGCTGATCCCACGCGCGCAGGGCGCCCACGCGGTCGAGAGCCCCCAGGAGGTCCAGCCAGGCACCCCGCGCACTCGTTGCTCAGGATCTCCTCGGGGCGTTGCCGCGGCCCCCGCGGCCGCTGGCGAGTCCGGGAGGACCGCGAACGCAAGTTCACGAATCGCAAGAAAGTCCCGCGGGGGGGCCCGGGGAGGCCGCCGTCGGCCTCACCCTCATGATGAAGTCGATCTCCTGGGCGAGCACGTCGAGATCAGCGAGGCCCTGGAGAGGGCCACCCAGCGCCTCGCAGCTGCCAGCCGCGGCGCCCCAGGGCGTCGCCGAGAGGGCCCTCTGGCCAGATGAAGGCGCCGTGGAAGACGGGCAGTCGGCGGCATAAATTATTCAGCAGGCTGCCCTCGTGGGAGCGCTGGGCAAACGGGGCGCGCCTGCTGCTGGTCTGAGATCTTGGAAACGGCGGGCGAAGGACAGGGCGGCCGCGCCCATCTGGAGACGGGGGCGCACGGGCGCGGCATTCCCCCGGCGCCCGTGGCATTGCAGCAGCCCCAGGTTCTGAAACGAACGGAAATGATGGACGGCCCCGCCTCCTCGCAGCGACCCGGGGGCGCGGGGCAAGTCGCCAATGCCGACGAGGCCCTCGAAGCAAACTGATCCCGCGGGTCAGCCGGCGCAGCTGCCCAAGGCCACCGTCGGCGAGATTGGTCTGAAGATGCGCCCGATTTAGTTCAGCAGCGCAGGAACGTCGATCAAGACGCACTGGAACTTCGGCCCTCGGCGCAATCTTGGCCGAAAGTAGCGCGGGCACGCCCGCGCTGACGTCGCGCCCCAGGTCCCCGGGCAAGCGCGGGCGCTGCCAGATGGCAGCCGCGACCTGACTGGGCTGCAGCAGCGAATGGAAGGCGAGGGGCAGGCGCGCCGATGCCCCGCCGAATCCTAGCGTCTGGGCAGCGACGGCCAAGGCCATGAGCACCTCGACAGGCATGAGGGTTCGCACCTCGGCCGGCTCGAAATTGCCCCCCCCAGGCCGGGCGCAGTTGACCGCGGGTCTGGGGCCAGCGAAACTCGGCGCCAACCAGGGTCGCATATCCCCAAGAAGACGGCGCCTTCGCGTCGTACAGGTACTGCGCGTGGGCGACGGGGGTGGCGTTGAGCAGCTCGCTCGATGTCGCGCGCGGCACCGTCGTGCGCGACATCGATCGTCGGGGCGGGGCAGTCCACGACCCTGGAGCCACAAGCCCAACTTGTCGAGCGTGATGATGCGCCGGCGGGCAGTGGCCGGCATGACTGTCGCTCGGAGGCCATGCGCGGCCCCCGAAGCGGCGCGTCGCGAGGCTGTGCCAAGGCGCGCGGGCGGGCCTCCTCCAGGAAACCCAAGCCACCTGGAGAAGATCCCCAGGGGCATCAGCAGCGCGGCGAGCGGCAACACATGTCGAGCTGCCTGGACACCGCGTCGCACCACTCATTGTAATGCTCTGCTGCCACCTCCGCCAGGCGCCGCCAGGCGCTGTCCTCGCACTGGACGCCGCTCTCGAGGGCGAGCTGCTGGCGGCCGCGGTCGCGTCGCCTTGCCGGCGGGGGCAGGGGCGCCCGCCGCCCCATCCAGGTGGCAGTCTCGCGCCAACGCCCGCCCCGCAAACGCCAGTCCACGACGCGCTCGTAGAGCGGCCCCGCGCCGAGGGCCCCCTGGAGCTCCAGAAGTGCCCGCAGAAGAGCTTGCTGATCCCACGCGCGCAGGGCGCCCACGCGGTCGAGAGCCCCCAGGAGGTCCAGCCAGGCACCCCGCGCACTCGTTGCCCAGGATCTCCTCGGGGCGTTGCCGCGGCCCCCGCGGCCGCTGGCGAGTCCGGGAGGACCGCGAACGCAAGTTCATGAATCGCAAGAAAGTCCCGCGGGGGGGCCCGGGGAGGCCGCCGTCGGCCCCACCCTCATGATGAAGTCGATCTCCTGGGCGAGCACGTCGAGATCAGCGAGGCCCTCGAGAGGGCCACCCAGCGCCTCGCAGCTGCCAGCCGCGGCGCCCCAGGGCGTCGCCGAGAGGGCCCTCTGGCCAGATGAAGGCGCCGTGGAAGACGGGCAGTCGGCGGCAGAAATTATTCAGCAGGCTGCCCTCGCGGGAGCGCTGGGCAAACGGGGCGCGCCTGCTGCTGGTCTGAGATCTTGGAAACGGCGGGCGAAGGACAGGGCGGCCGCG